GTCAAGTGAGGTAACTGTTGTGAACCTACATTTCAATTATTTAGTGTGCTGTCCTTAGATTTCTGTATGAAGTCTTCCTTGTGGGCTCCTTCTGGGTGGGCTGTAAAATTTGCTGCTTTTGCTGCCTTTAATTTTAGTTGGCTGTGCCTGGTGGCACCCACCTTTAATCCCATGTTAGGAAGGCAGAGGCAGGCAGATCTCTGTGAGTTTGAAGCCAGCCTGATCTACATAACGAGTTCCAGGCCAGCTGGAGCTACAGGGAAACCCTGTCTCAAAAAGACAAAAAAAAAAAAAAAATTGTATTCTGTAAAACAGAAGCATACACATACAGTGGATAAACAAATTTGCATAAATATATTTGTACATCCAATCTTTATAAAAGTAGCCCTCTACCAGTGCAAGTCTCTGAACTATATTTAAGACACAACGAATGTGTGAGGCAAACTTGACAACCATTATACTACCGAAACACGACATGCAAACACGACAGTCAATGTGGCCTGTGGGAGCCTCTACACGTGGAGTACCCACATAAGGAACTTTGGCCTAATTTTGTGTACAAACTAAAACTAAAAGCCTAATTTAGGAATGCGCGCTGTGTAACAGCCAATCCCAGCAGCTTAATTCCATTCATTCACAGGCAGCCAACGAATCAGGCCACGTTCAAATGCTGCAATGGCAGTTATAACCAAGTTCCTGGGCCTTGCTTCCATTTCCTGTCCATAAAAGATGCCTGCGCACTTGCTGGATGGTGTTTTCTGAGTCTAATGGTTCTCAGGGATGCCTGGTTCCTGAGCCAATCTTTTACATTAAAACATAAACTTAATGTATAAAGCATTTTCTTTAGTACAGTTCTTTCATTACCCCTACCTTGAACATTTTCAAAGAAGAAAAATTGAAAACCAGTTGACTAAATATGATTCTAGAGTTACCAGACAAGGGATATAAATCTCAGAAATACATCTTAACACTTCAAAACTGGGCTCACGTAGAGTTAGGGTGTCTGCCTCTGGCGTTATTTTTAGCACTGATCCCATAGATTCAGGGAGATCGGCGGTGGAATCGCCTTCCAGATCGCTGGCTGGGCTTGGCTGCCATCTTGTGGTGATTGGGCTGCTGGCCACCGGAACTTGAGCAGACAACCTCTTCACTAAATTGTTCTTAAAGCTTGAGTACGTAGTGGTGACAGAGTTAAATGCCTGTTTAACAACAAGGAGAGCTTTAGGTTCTAGCAGCCTCCATGAAGCAAAAGTGAAAATTCCTTAAAATAGAATTGCATATTATTTACCTAGACCACCTACATATATGTACATGAGCTTTAACGTCTGTGACCCTGAAGAATTACATTTCTTTAAACACCAAACATCATTACATACTTAAAGCTTCTGCTCAAAGGTTTTTCGATATGCCAAACTAGTTGAGGAAGTAATTATATTTAAGGATTATCATCATTACATGTCAGTGTACAGCATATGAAATAATGCTGTGTAACAGATACTGTATCTGTTTCCTGGCTCTTCAGAGTTTCTGATTCTGATTTTCTGCCTGTGGACCATATCTAGGAAACTTCTGCACTCACACACACCACCACCCCGGTGAACAGTAAGGGAGGGAGGTGCTACCGTTGGAGGGGGGCCACTATTGCTCAAAGTTTCCTTGCTGTCCTAGAATTTAAATATGCATTTCAAGACAAAATGGTTTTGAGTTTAAAGAAGAAAAGAACAAATAAGCCAGCTGAGAAAAATGATCAAGAACCTTCACACTAGTAGTCTTGCAGTGCCTTGGCATGTCCATGTTCCTCTGACTTGGCAACTGTCACTCTGTCCATTTGAATGATTCTCACTTGGGATCTTGTCTGCCATTCTCTGCCAAGGTAACTCCTTCTCCACATTCACAGCTGGGTTCACCCACTCCTTTTTTCACAGAAATGTATGGAACATTCCCTTTCTCTCTGTTCCAGACTGGGTTGGCAGCCTATGTTAGGTCAAGTAACAGCCCCCCAGGATCTAGATCCTAATCCCCACTTATCAATATCACATTCCATGATAAAGGGGCTTTGCACATGAGTCTAAGATACAGATTGACTTGCATTGAGATGGGGAGACTACCCCAAATCATCCTAAATATATCATATGTCCCAATAAGAAGGTGGACAGAAACTGGGCTACACTAAGAGGTACTAGCACTGTGTTCACAGAGCAAAGATTGCAGTGTTAATGTCTGAAAGCCAGAAAATGCTAACAGTCACCAGAACCTGAAAGGGCCTCTCCAGGGGAGCCTGTGAAGGAAACAAAGTCTGCTGACACCTTGGCCTCTGCCCTGTGAAACTGGCCTTGGGCCTGGGCCTTCATAATTGCAAGACAAGAAGGGTATGTTTTAAGCATGGAGTTTGAGGTCATTCATTTCAACAGTCATAGAAAAGCTGATGCACAGCCCTTGATGGCCTTCCACTGCTCCAACAGAGCACCACCACACTGTGTTAATAAGATTTATGTGCCCATCACTCAGATATAGGCATTAGACAGTATAAGTTTCATTGCTATCCTATGAAGTAGGTACTATCATCTACCCCACTCTGCAGAGTTGGAAAATAAAGCTTAATGGAGTTGAGTCACATGAGCAAAGATGCAGAGCTAAGCAGTGGACCCAGGACTCAAGCCACTACATGCAATTGTGCAAACCTTAGCTTTGTGAGTACACTGTCTGGAATATGCAGTGTACAACCTTCACAACCAACCAAAGCCACCCAACCTGAGAACTCTGAGGACTTGATCTAGCCCCGGTGTTTTAAGCACCTATGTTCATTTTCCACGTTTCTGCTGAGTTTTATTCCTCTCCGACTATATTCTATATCCTGAAGACCAGAGGCTTGTCCCTCACTGTTCTGTTCTCAGAGTGTGCTGTATAGCTTTAGTGTCAACTTGACACACCTAGGTTGAGGGAGCCTCAATTGGGGAATTTCCTCTATTGGACTGGCCTGTGACCATGTCTGAGGGGCATCTTCTTGATGAGTGATGTGGGAGGGCCCAGCCCACTGTGGGTGGTACCACCCCTGGGCAGGTGGACCCGTGTTGCATAAGAAAGCAGGCTGAGCAGGGGCCAGGGGAGCAAGCCAGTAAGCAGCATTCCTCCATGGCCTGTGCTCAGCTCCTGCTTCCATGTTCCTGCTGAGTTCCTACCTTGGGCTCCCTGATGAACTGCGACCTGGGAGATGTAAGCTGAGTAAACCCTTTCCTCTCCAAGTTGGTATTGGTCAGAGTGTTTTGTCACAGCAGTTAAGAAACAGAACTAAAACACAGAGCATAGCTCAGAGATTGGCATTTAGGAACCCTACAGTGAATTGAGTGGATTAACTTCTTCCCCTAAGAAGGCAGAAGGGATTTAAGAAAGAATCCAGAGGGTAGGAACAGTTATTTTTCTTCTTCCCCATTAGGAACACTTTTCAAGTTGTATAAAACACACTTTTTCGCAAAAAGTGGAGAACAATGCAAATGACACAGTGAGAGTGCTAGAATGTAAAATAGGCCCAAGTATCTCCAGCTAAAGGACACCCAGCACACCAACAACACTTCCAGAACTGTTCTTGTCGGTGATCTCTGAAAAACACAAGAAAAACACTCCCCCCAGAAAATTGTTTTTTCTTGGTTTCCCAGTAAGAGGAACAAGTGCCCCAGGGCAAGATAAATGAGGGATGAGAGCTGTGAAGAAAGCAGAAGATGAGCACGGGTGCTTGGAGCACAGGGACTGGATGGATTTGTCAGAGCGCAAACTTTGGCAGGGTTGTTTCAGTTGATTGTGAAGACTGTGCTCTAGAGGGTGTCACTTGCACAAAAAATAAGACAGCAGTTAATAGTGTGATGAGATTACTTTTTTATTTATTTTTAATGTGTGTGAGTGTATTGCCTGCATGTATGTGAGTGCACCCATGTCGTGCAATGCTGCGGAGGTCAGAAGAGGGCTTCGGATTCCCCTGAAACTGGAGTTAAGGACGGTTTGCAGCCACCATGTGGGTGCTGGGTATCGAACCCGGGTCCTCTGCAAGAGCTCTTAACCACTGAGCCAACTCTCCAGCCCGAAATTACTTTTTTAAAAGATCAGTGCAAAGTTAGGTCCCATTAAGGGAAAAATTAGAGGGTCTGGAGAGATGGCTCGGCATATAAGAGCATGCACTGCTCTTGCAGAAGACTCAAGTTTGGTTCCCAGCACCCATGTCCTAGGGCTGACAGCCACCTGTAATCCAGCTTCAAGGGATCTGATACCCTTTTCTGGCCTCTGTGGACCCCTGAACAGATGTGACACAGACATACAGATGCACACACTCACATGCACATAAATAAAAATAAATCTTTTAAAATTATTTATGTATTCATTCATTTTTATTTTATGTGTCTGAGTATTTTGCAAGCATTATGTAAGTGCACCCATGTAGTGCACTATGCAGTGACCATAGACCAGTGACCAGAAGAGGGCATTAGATTCCCTGGAACTGGAGTTACAGATGGTTGTTAGCCACCATGTGGGTGTTAGGAACCAAGCCCAAGGTCCTCTGTAAAAGCAGCCAGTACTCTTAACTGCTAAGCCATCTCTCTAGCCCCTAGTAAATCTCTTTTTTAAAGAGAAAGAAAAAATAATGTCTCAACTTAGAGCAAACAAAATTTCCTTGCTTTTGGACCAGTCAGAACTCATCTGAAAAACCATGCTCAGGCTCGGAATTGTTCTTTAAGAGGTGATCCACAGTAGAATGGATGAACTGAAGTATTCAAAAAATAAAATACTGTACAGTAAAAATGAACTGCAGCTACATACAACAAACACCACAAAGTTCCTAAAATATCAAGCAAAATAAAATGGAAAATGTCCAGTATAATTTCATTTAAGTAAAATTCAAAAATGTACTTAGGGATGCACACAGATAATGCTGTATGCAGTATGAAGAAAGGCAGGAAAGCATCTCAAAATCCAAAGATGGGTAGGGGTCCTATTAATGTATTCTATTTCTTGATCTGAAAGTTGTGTCCAACCTTTTGACCTTTTGATACAACATTATCATCTACAAAGTTCACACTCAAGAACTGCTCAATCAAATTACAAAAAAAAAAAAGGAAATGACAAAAAAAAACAATGTTTTTAACAAATTTGCAATTTTGTGTTGGGCCACATTCATAGTTATCCTGGGGCTGCAGGTTGGACTTGTCAGGTAGAATGTTTGCTTTGGGAGGAATGTGGAGGAAGTTCACACTGTATAGTCCAGGCCAGTCTTAAACTCCAGACTCCAAGTCTTCCTGCCTCTGCCTTGGATGAGCGTCACAGCATCTGACCAGAATGTTTTCTTCTAATTACTTTTATTAAGCTATAGATCTGTATCATATATTTTCCAGAATGTTTTTAAATTTAAAAATTATGAAAAGAAGAAGAGAAGGAATAAAAAAAAGGAAGGAAGGAAGAAAAGAGCTGTCTGAGACAAGATTCAAAACCAAGTTCACTGGGAAGCCAGGAACCTCAGTGAGAGATGTCAAGATGAACAGTACACATAAGGGTATATATGAGGGCCCTTGCTACATGGAGTAAGGAAAGCCAGGGTATTGATCCAGAAGAAAGAAAAATAAAGCTTCATGGAGCTTTGAAGCTATCTTCAAATATTTAAAGAAATGCAATTTATGAAAAGAAGCAAAGCTTACTTTGTATTCTTCCTTATGAAAAAAACTTGGACCAAAAAAAAGGAAGAGGCAAATTTTTATTGAATACAAGTAACTTTCTAAGAATTGGAACACAATTTGTCTTAACACATTGAATATCAAGTATAATACAGTCAGTCCTTCCATTAGGGATATACTTAGGTTATTTTGGTGTCATTTTAAAATGTTTTTAGCTTTTCAGTATTAATATAAAAGTTATCCATATAAAATCAATTCAAGTAAGGTAAATGAATTTATTTAAATTAAAATGTAAAGTCAGTAACAAATTATATGCAGATTTGGGAAAAACACAGAGGTGACACGTAGACAACCCAGCTTGGGAAACACGACTGTGGATTGTACTATTTCATCTTCAGTGTTTTCAAGGCTTTTGTTCTAGGACCTATCTCCTGCTGAGGAAATGCCTGTCGCATAGTTTTAAATGACTCAAGTATTTATTAATAGAGAGGAAGAGGAAGATAAGAAAAATAAGACAAAGGAAGGAAAGGGATGAAGCCCATCAGCTCAGCCCATCCACCTTGAGTGATCACATCATGGTGACACTAAACATAAAGGAATTTGGAGCCAAAGAGAAATAGAAAGGCACCTAGAAAGGTGAAAAATAAGGTCAGGAAGTCCCAGAATGCAGCAAGCAAGAAAACAGAAATGAAGATATCCAGTGACGAATGACCTAACACACAAATATTCAGTGGGTGGGGAAAGACTGGACAGTCCCGAAAAGGCATGCTGGTGATGGAGTTCTGTGAGACTCTCATGACAGGACCAACAAAATGTCTCATCAGGTAAAGGTGCTTGCCACTAAGCATGTCAACCTGAGTTCTATCCGCAAGACACATGTGGCAAAAGAACAGAAGAGACTCCAGAAAGTTGTCCTCTGGTCACCAAAGTACTATGGCACATGAGCACCCACACATATACACACAAAAATAAATAAATGTAATTTGAAAAAAGAATCTCATGACAAAGACAGAAGTAACAGATGGTCCAGTAGCTCTCTGTAAAGTTCCTCCTCTGCCCTTCCACAGTCCTGACCCCCAACCAGCCCCAACCAATGCAGTTACATTCTTGCCGTGAATCACTTCAAAATTAGGATCTCAACGTGAACAAGTCCCACACAAGCTTAAGCCAGACAAAATCCCAACATAGACTTGGGGAAGTGAAGTGGGTAGGAAATCCCAACCCACCACCTCTCCACCTCCCCAGTGCTGGGATTAAAGGCATAAACCACCAATGCTAGGTTTGTCTTGACTTTTTGCTCTACAGACTTCGGGCAACACCCTCCAGATAAAAACATTTTGTTGTTTTTCTCCGCACCCGCCCTCTCTCAGCCCTTACAGTGTCTTAAAAAACTCAGTCTCCTGGTTGAACAAAACTCCTTCTCAAGAACACTGGAGTAATCTCACCCCCTCTGTTGTCTTCTAAATAAACATACTCAACTATTACAAAGAAATGGTGTGATGAATATGAAAGACTTTGGTTAGGACGCAGAGAAAGTCCTAACTTCTGTTCTCAGTAGCTATATTCACTAGTTCTGTGATCTTAACTAAATTATTAACTCCTTCACATTAACAATTATATGTATGTGTATATATAAGAAAATATAAACTAAAGGAGACTGCATTCAGAATGAAGCTCATAAGCAAAAGTCATTTTCTCTAAGCAAAATGCAACACAATGTTAAAAAACACGGGTGATTTACTTAGTGCCAAGCTATCTAGAGCTTTTTTTTTCTAATTTTTTTTAAAAAATTATTTTATGTGTTTTGCCTGCATATGTGTAAGTGCACCGTAGTGATGCAGTGACTGAGAACAAAGAGGGTGTCAGATCCCCTGGAATCGGAGTTAAGGACAGTTGTTAGCTCCCATGTGGTTGCTGGGATTTGAACCCAGGTCTCCTGATAGAACAGTCAGTGCCCTTAACTGCTGAGCCATCTCTCTAGCCCCTACCCAGCTCATTATAATTCCATTTCATGTGTGTTCCCATACCTCCATAATTGATTTTCATTTCTTTGTAGGCTGGCTCCTTCACTGGAACTTTACTCTCACCTTTAGCCACATTTCAAAAAACAAAACTATGGCCAGTAAGATAGCTCCGAGGGTAAAGGCACTCGCCACCAAGCCTGATGACCTAAGCTCCATCCCTGGGAGGACCTACGTGGTAAGAGAGAGCTGACTCCCACAAGTTGTCTCTGGATGGGCCACACCCATGCTGTGATATTTAGGTACCTGCACATGATTAATCAATCAATCAATGTAAAAGTTTTTAACTAAATAAAAATTTTTAACATGTTTATCTATAGTGAATTTTGAGACCTGCTTATTTATCAGCCTGCTGGCTGTACAGCAGTTGCTTACAGGCTTATACAGTATACTTTTAGACTTTTCAAACCCATTCAGCTCTGGCTCACTTGATTTTCCATAGAAGAAACTAGCATCACAATTTTCTCAAAGTATCACCCTATGTAGGAGGACCTGTGGGAGGAGTGGTCCATCAACACCCCTCCCAGAGGTAACCACTCTGTCTCCTGCTCTCAAAGCAGTTATATTGGATCGGGTTCACATGGTTCAAATTATAACAGCTGTTCTATGGATTTAGCTTTCTAAAATTTGAGGTCCAAATCATTTGCTTGGATTGCCTGAGGAACTGGCTAAAGGATCTAGCGTATTCATGGAGACATGAAACACATCCTTTTTGGAACCAGAAAATGATTCCGGTCTAAACGGTGCATAAGTCATGGGGGTGGGGACTATAAAACTGGAGATTCTAATTAGGAGGTCTGGGATGGGGCCCAGGTGAACACACATGGGGGCCCAGATGAATACAGGTCCCAGGATCCCATCTGCAGAGCAAGGACAAAAAGGCTGAGTAACAAAGGAATGCCACTGCACAGTGGAAGTGCAGAGACTCTGAACAGCTCAGTCAGACTACACCAAAGTAAAACCATCGCACTTAGGAACTCGGCACATTCTGGGTACTGTTTTGTTCTTTACTAGAAATACGTTTAAAAGATAATACTTTCTGCATAATAGTTTTTCTCTATTGTGTCTGTTTTTGTTTATGTGGGTTTGGTGGTGGTGGTTGGTTGGTTGGTTTTTAGGTTTTTGTTTTGCTTGTTTTTATTTTTGAGACAGGGTCTCTCTGTGTAGTCCAGGCTGGCCACAAGGCCACAATCTTTCTGCTTCAGCCTCCAAAGTGCTGGGATGACCAGCATGCCAACATATGCCACCATACTCAGATCTATTATATTCTTATCAAGCAATGGGGGAGGAAATAAGTGGTTTCTCTTGCTGGTTTTACCTAGATTAAGCCTCAACTGCAGGCTTTGTTCAACTAACCCCCAAACACATACACCACAGCAGTTGGAGAACAGGTCTTCTAAAGCTGAACCCAGTAGTGATGGGAAGGCCACTCCCACAGCTTCTTGGCTCACTTCAGACTCTGGAAACACATCATGACACCGATGGTCAGGCTCAAGTGGACAGCACCTTAGTTTAGAACTTACTATGTGGTAAACAGGTCAGATTCTAAGTTGACTGAAGGAACCATGGATTTTAGGATATTCAGCCCTCAAATGCCTCCCAGTTCTCACCCCTAAAATCTATGATCATCAGAGCATAGTTAGGCCTCATGGAGCAAGCCACAGCTAAAGAGAAAAATAAAGATTAATTAATTAATTAATTAATTAATTAATTAATTAAAGCAATTAACGGGTGTATCCATGTAGAGGTGGGTTTGCAGTTTTTGTTTAGGGTTCGTGACTGAATTCTTTTATTTAGCTATTAAAACATTGCTTTATTATACAGTCTAATATTTTCCCATCTATAGGTTGGAACCCATTGGTGAGCCATAAAATCATTTTCATAGATCAGCACCATGCTGTCTCAAAAATGCCATGGACGTGATTACATCGCTGTTCAAAGAATTAGTTCATGAAACTTCTCAATGTTGTATCTGTCTGTATTTGTCTGTGTATGAGTGTGTGCACGAGATGTGTTTTCAGTTATGTTGTAAAGTATGTATCTTGCCAGAGGTTGTGACAAAAATATGAAGAAAACCCCCACACTGGGCTATATTTTCTGATGGGACAGGGTGTAATGCTTCATTATTTTCTGTTTTCTCCATATTCACCTGGCATCTGATTGCCTTCGCTAGATGAAGTCAGAATAAATAGAATAGCCTTTTCAGAATTTCGCTGCTCTATTTAATTTTTTTTGTATTCAGATAGTATGCTCAAACCATACATAAAGCATTAAGTTCCTGCAAGTCACATGTCACAGTAACAGGCCGCATTAATCTACCCTTTAAACTATTCCCTGGTATTCTGCACCAGTCCTCCACAACCAAACCATTGCTCTCTAAATGGGATGCCGAGCAGGGCAATGAGCATTTGTATCCGAATTACAAGAGCACCATCTTCTGGTGAAATGTTTTCTTAGTAGGGAGGGTGGCAAGCAGTTAAAACTATCCTGATTTTTCTGGCAAAAAGAGAAAAAAAAAATGAAGTTCCATCACAGATATGTTGAAATTTTGACACGTTGTTTCTGACTTTGATTCTTCTGGAAAATGTTCTTCTATTATTTATAGGAGCTCATCTGTCCTTCCGGTTTTCCGTTAAACTAAGCGGGGTTTCAAGTTTCAGCTCCTCCTTGAATTCCAGCCTGCTGAGACTCTCTCTTTAATCATCCAAAATGGAGTCTTTCGCTGCCTACCCATTAAAATGTTCCGGGCCCAAAGCAAAAGTATTTGCAGTTTTTCTGTCTATGGTTCTGTGCACCGTGATGCTCTTTCTGCTACAATTAAAATTCCTAAGACCCAAAATCAACAACTTCTATGCCTTTGAAGTGAAGGATGCCAAAGGAAGAACCATTTCTCTGGAAAAGTTCAAAGGCAAAGTAAGTTCTGATTTTCATTTTTATTGCTCTTCAGCCTCTCTACTTACTATCTTACTAGAATACAGTTTTTGCCATTACAGTCATAAGTTAGCATTTCGACTTCAAAGCAATGTTATTAGATGCCATTTATCAGAGTTCTAAGAGCTTTTAGCTTCTAACCTACAATCTTATTCTTTTTCTCAAAAGATGTTTAAAAGTTTGTGGTGGCTTAATGCTCTGTTTAATGCTTTGTTATCTAGAAAATGCTTATTGTGACTGTGGTGACATCCATTAATAGAAATATTATCTCTATAATCCAACAACGTTAAAAAGAACTCTGTCAGAGTTTAACCCATTCTGCGTTATGGTTTCCAATAAAATTGAATCTGTCTAAAAATATATATGAAATATTTTAGAGGTTATAGTCTCCCAAAATGGTTTAGGATTTTAACTGCTTGCAGGATTTTTTTTTTAATCTTTTGCTTCTCTTTCCGGTTGGGTTTTTTTTTTTTTTTTTCTTTTTCCGGGAGGTTTCCCTAGTTGTAAACGTGGCTAGTGACTGCCGGCTCACAGACAAAAATTACTTAACCCTGAAGGAGCTTCACAAGGAGTTCGGGCCCTATCACTTCAGCGTCCTGGCTTTCCCATGCAATCAGTTTGGAGAATCGGAGCCCCGGTCCAGCAAGGAAGTAGCATCTTTTGCAAGAAAAAACTACGGAGCCACGTTCCCCATCTTCCACAAGATTAAGATTTTAGGGCCTGAAGCAGAACCTGCATTTAGATTTCTTGTTGGTAAATATCTTCCGTGCCTCAACAATACAATGCTGTTAATTACCTTTCATTTAATATGCTATATATAGACCATATCTCCTATTTCATTTAAAATAATTTATTGGGAAAATTTCATAAAACTATCAAAAGAACCAAAACCTCATCTTTTGTAGCTTTCTAGAAGTTAGGCATTCCTAGAATCAATGTTCTGACTTATTAGATGGCACAAGAATTGTGCTATGATGTGTGTTATTCCCTATGACCATCTTCTTGAAGATATCTGAAATGTGACCATAGCTATTTTCACTGAGTATTTTAATTTGCCTATAATTTAACTGGCATTTGGGGCAATGACCCTCCTCTTTATTAAAATCTGCACATTTCATGAATATTTATGATTGAGAATTAGTAACTGAACATATCTTTGTGGTTAGTTTTTTACTGGCCTTTTATTGGAGACATTATCCTCAAGGTTGACCATGTCAGTTTACTAGGGTTGTGCTGAAATTCAAAACAGAAATAGCTTTTTTTTTTCCAGAGATTAGTAATGTTAGGCATTCTCTATAAGCTAGCCACAGACATCTATTTAAATTATGCCTAACAAACAATGAATAGCAACCCGTGTGAAGACTTCATTGCTTTTATTTCTGGGGTACACTAGAAAAAAAAAGTCTAGAATAAGTGCCCTTCAGCAAATCATTCCTCGGTCTCAGCAGCCAAGCTCCGGAGCACAATAACTCACAGCTCCTTCATTATTACTAAAACAGCTTGTGGAGCCACACTCACCACACATAACCAAAAAGATAATAGGTTTCACTGAACTTAGACAAGGATGGCAAGAGAATCCAAGGGTCAAGAATACAAATTCTGGACAAACAAGGTCCAGATATCAGCTCTAGCTCTGCCACTCACTGGCCACATGGTCTTGAGTTCAGGCCTCCATTTTTCTCATCCACAAAATGGTGATAATATCCATGTCCAAGGGTTGCTAGGAAGATTAAACCCATTGAACCCATTTGAAGCACTGAGCATACTTCATACGCATATAGTAAGGACTTGATGATTTTAGTTTTAGTTACTATGTTTCTTATGTTCATCAATAATAGGAGGCTAAATCCTGAATGATATCTATTTTAAAAATCCATATTTCTTACATAAATTAATATTTATCAAAAGAATCATAATTTCTCAAAGTGATCATTTAAAGTCCTTTGCCATTTTCAGCTACATAATATGTAACAATATTAAAAACATGAAGCGTAACTCATGCCTTGCTATTACCAAGGAACTTTAGGACATTTTACATTTAAAATTTTTAAGAACTGGCTGGACATGGTGGTAAGCACCTATAATCTCAGTACTAGGGAGATGGAGGTTTGGCGAATCAAGAGTTTAAGATGAGCTTTGGCTATGTAGTGACTTTAAGGCCAAACACCCTGTCTCAAAAACAACAACAAAATGTTAAGAGCTGAACATTAAACTCCTTAGGTCTCTCTGGATCCTGATGTACTCACCTGTTGTTTGTTAATCCTAGCACCCAAGAGACTGAGTCAGGAGGATCACAAATTCAAGTCTAGCTTGGGCTGCATAGCAAATCAAAAAGAAAATTTGTTTAGATCTACAAATCTGAAATCTACAATTTGTTTCATTTCCTGAGTCTAAACAAGTACAGCTAATATGAAGTCATCAAGTACAATGAAAGTGGTTACTCAAACCTTGAGCTCTCTGCTTTGTTGGGTGTTTCATTTTGTCTTATTATGACAATCCTAGAATCTGATTCTAATATTTATTCAGGTAATAAGAAAAATAAAAATCTTGACAACGAATAAAATTATGCTCACGAAAATATATTCTGGGCATTTTAGATTCTTCAAAGAAGGAACCAAGGTGGAATTTTTGGAAGTATCTGGTCAACCCTGAGGGGCAAGTTGTGAAGTTCTGGAGACCAGAGGAACCCATTGAAGCCATCAGACCTCACATATCACATCTGATTGGGCAAATCATCCTAAAAAAGAAAGAAGATCTATGAAGACACCACAGAGTAAGTCCAGTGCAATAGAACAGAAATGTCTCTAGAGGATTCGGTCTCTTTTTAAATTCTTTGACAAATATAACATTAAGATTGTATTTTATGGCTGTCTTACTAATCAGTGGATTGGACAATGGATGTCCCCAGGAAAATAATGCTACCCAAAGAGGAAGAAAAAAGAGCAGCCAACGAATCAAAACGGAGTGCCAACATACTTCAGTACCCTATTGATCAACTTAATGGGAAAACCTATTCCCAAGGTCACTATGTGGAATAAAAAACATTGTGTGACTGAAATTTTTGGAGTGACTATAAGTGGCCATATTGATATAATAAAACAAATGCTGGAAAATGCAAAATAAGTGCGTTCAAATTCTTATACGTGTTTGTTTCAAATACAGTTTTAGTTTTTTGTTTTGTTTTTTCTTACATAGGTTTCTAGTGTTCCACTGAATGTAGTCAAATAGTGGCTTTTCAATATTTGAAAAAGGCCACCAGCATTTTCAGCCTCTATTAGTTTTCTAGAAGCAATTTAAGGTACATAAATAGAATAATGTTAAGTAGAAAATGCCAACTAAAGGAAAAAGGATATGTGTGGTCATTTAGCTTGGCTTCAAACAGGTTGATTTGGGCTGCTAATATACTCAAACTAAATTTTAGTCATTTGTAGAAAATTTAATGCTGTCTCCTTCTGAGAGCTGAAACAGTGAAAATCACCTTCAAATAGTCAAAACACCAAGGCAAAAAGAGTGATTGCAATCACACCAGTCCTAGAATTCTAACATGTGGACCTTTTCATACAGACACTTGCGCTTTTTCTCCCAGAGTCATGGCCTTTATATTTTGTCATCCTTGTAACTGATTAACCAACCTGCCAAGCTGATGAAGGTAAATTATTGCATCTGTGAAATACGTGTTCATTACATTAAAGAACTAAATTTGAAAGAATACTTGCATATGAAAGTACAGTCATGTAAAAGTTGTCTAAAAAGTATTCAGTCTAAATAACCATGACTGACTCCCAGTTTGGGCCTGGGGAGTGCAAGCAGAGGTATTTTTGTAGTGAGTTCACTATTGTCATCATGGTATATGGTTCTCTGTGTTTGTAGTAAAGTTCTTAGAGACACACACACACACACAAAAAAAAACATTTCCGGTGGTGTCTCTGCTTCGGGGTCTATCTATCTCCAACTACACAGGTGCCAATGTGTTTAGTGAGCTCTTTGGAGTTGATGAAATACACTTTCCACTACAGGTGGCAAGATCTTACACGGATAGCCTCAGGAATACCCAGATTTGTGTGTTTGGGGACACCTCTCACCAGCTGCATGACTTCAGTTGCCTCACCTACAAAGTAAGTGGGGATCTGACAGAACAGAAAGGTCCTCCCAACTCTAAACATCAAACAGCATATCGCCAGTGAATAAATCATAACCTGGACTGTTGGCAGTGAAACACCACTGAGGTCTGCCTGTCTTTTGCAATGCTACCCTCCCCCCACAAAAGCCTCTTTATTAGCAATCTGGATTCTGGACTTCTAAGCAAAATTTTGACCAGGGAAACTTCCACCACACATGTACCAAGTGTTGCTTCCCAAGCACACTTGCCCTATGCTCCCACTCATGACTTCCCCGAGCACTTAAAAGCACTGCCCTTGTGTCTCCATATGCTCATATTAGGGGTATAAATGGAACTGAATGAGCCAGTGCCACATAGTGGGATGAATTGTCAGATGAATGTCCAAGAGGGATGGTAACCTTAACTGTCCCAGTGAATGTGATTCCAAAGCCTGCCTTAGATCACTGCTTCTCAGGCCAGGTGTGATGGTGCAAACTTTTAGTCCCGGCACTTAGGAGGCAGAAGTAGGCAGATCTCTGTGAGACTGAGGCTAGCCTGGTCAACATAGGGAGTGCCAGGCCAGCTGGGCTTACAGGGAGACCATGTTTCAAAAAAAACAAAAAAAAAAGAGTCAGTCACTACTTCTCTCCCAGTCCAAATAAACAGTTTCTTCTTTGACTGTCTCCAAGCCAAGCTGCCTTATCATACCCACAATCTGTATAATAGCCAATCTCCTCTTGCCCTCCGGAAGGCAAGGCAGGCAGGTGGGAATCTGGAAAATGTACTATGAATGGTCTTGACAGAAAAAGAAGCTCAGGGATCCATTCAGGGTTCTGTAACATTCAGTTGATGTGTGCTGAAGAAAGAGGAGAGTCTGTTGCTGGTGTGCCACCACTCAACTCAGAAATCACACATGAACACCACTGCATAAGCACACAGAGGAAAAACTGCATCCTGTCTCGGCACCAGAAAGTTCCCAAAACAGACTGATGCCTAAATTATGTAAAGTGGTGGTTAGCTGTCATCTTCAATGCAAAACAAAAGGGTGAGTATCTTAGCTGAGGTAACTAATTCACTGGCTCAACATTTGTTTGGGTTTGGTTTGGAGGAGCGAAAGGAGTGGTCCATCCTGACTGCTGATCACCTAATCATGGCAGATACAACAGCACAGAGGGCTAGAGATTGAGATAGGAATTCTCCCTGAAAGTTGCACTATAATGCATAATAAGTATATCTATAATAGATATATACATATATACATAACTCTGAATAATTTTAGTATATATAGTGAATCTATTGTGGTGGCTGGTAAACATTTATAGACAGGCTCTTTGGAGAAGGAATACTGACTTGCAGATGCACCAATTCTATAACCTAAATGTTCCCATATGGCCACCTTCAATCTACCAATGATTTAATGCCTAGCTCAAGTTTTCTGAAAATGTATTACTTCTCACTGACTTCAGCACAAACTTCAGCACACCAAAATTCCTAAAAATGTACTTGATAAAGGTGTCATAAGGATCTCCAAAGAAAGAGGTCTACATAAAAAATGTATCAAATATACTCTGATCTTATCAACACATTTTGACAGACTACATAAAAATGTGGAGTACATGCAGTTTCTGAATTATGAAAAGCTGCTAACAGAACACTGACCTAAATGTACTGCCTGCAGATAATCTCAGGTAGGAAAGTATCCTAGTAAAAAGGACAAGGAAAAAAGAGAAGGCGTAGAGCTGTAGGAAGGGAGGGATGGGGGGTATGGGGAGAGGGCGAGAAATGAGAATAGGGAGGGGAGGTGAAGGGAGGGAAGAACAAAGGAGAAAGAAAGCCCAAGAAGGAAACAAAAAACTACATTCTCTGTATTTGCTTTCTTTAAAAAGATTAATAGTGTTTCAAAGGACTGCTCTGCACGAGCTGAAGTACTGAGTGGCCCCTGTACAAAATATGTTAGTAATGTTCGAGAGAAAAATGCCAGGGAGCCGACACTCTATCCATATTTAGTCCTCTGATTGTTCTTTATTCATGGGATAAAATTCTTTTATGCCTAGAATCTAATCCATCCCACTCTTCCCCTTCCTCCTCCCCAGACACTGCTGGACCCATAGCTGGCAGAGAGATCCATTATCTTTGGGAGAGGGACGAGGATAAATAGCAGCAAGAAGAAATTAGGAAGCTACAGGGAGGTGGTGAGAAAAGTTTCCATCTCCAGCACTGTGAAGAGCAGTACAGTCTAGGAAACACCCAGCGGAGCCTCCTCCCCACTCCCGCATCCCAACCCCCTTTCCTCTGCTGGCTCCTTCCCTTCCCCTTATGGACGCTCCTTTTCCTTCGTGCTCCCACAGAACATTGTTTCATTGGATTTATTAGTTTACCTCTTTTTTTCTTTTTCTTGGGTTTTATTGTTTGGTTTGGGGGTTTTGTTTGTTTGTTTGTTTGTTTAATGATAATGGTCTCAAGAAGACCAAACTAGTCTCAAACGTTTTATGTAGCCAAGGCTGGCCTTGAACTCCCAAAGCACCTCCCTTTACCTCCTAAGATTTCAGGTGTGCATTATCATGCCTGGCCTTTTCTAATTTATATCTTGATTTTTCCTCTTATCCTCTGATTACTTTATGTTTCACTCCATTCTTTTCTTCATTTCTTGTATCAATAACAAAGAATTAAAGAATAGCTTTAAGTAAACATTCTTGGCTGTGTATATAAATCAGTGGTAGAGTGCTTGCCTAGCATGTGCAAGGTCCTTCGTTCCATCTCCCCATCCCAAAACACATAATGTATCCTACTTACTAAGTGTAAATATTGGTGTTTTATGTATTGTTCTTCAATTTTAAAAAAGAGACAAAGAAATCCATTAATTGATTTTATTTTTATTGACAGGTCAGTAACTATAGAAAATAACATACTGAAATTTAATCTTTAAAAAAAGATGAAACCATAATTGGTCAAACTGCTGAGAATAAGTGACTGTTAGTACTTGGCCCTAAATGGGACATTTACACTTACACACACCAAAGCTGAGGGAACATCACAGATGATGGTACAGAAAGAATGTAAGAGCTGGAGGAAGGGGAGGAGTGTTGCGAAACGCTGTCTTCTGGCCAGGACATGGTTGTTGCACTCATGAACTCACAACAGTTATGGTTGCCTGCACTAGATCAAGGTAGGCAACATTCCAGCATGAATGGAGGAGGAGCTCATGAGCTTTGCTAGCTGAGGAGCTATTGGCAGTTAATGGCTCCTGGGAGAAGGGGAATCATTTTTCTTCAGGGAGGTAGGGGCTGCTGGTAGGTTGCCTCTGTTCAGGTGGATGATCCCACACTCATGTACGTGCAAGCAGCACTAACTGGACTCAATGTGTCATTGAAAAAAAGAAAAGAGAGAAGAAAAGACATGGAGATGGAAGGAGAAATACTAGGGGAAGATCCAGGGGGAGTGGCAGAAGAGAATTTGGGAGGGAAATGATCAAGATACATTGTATTCATGTATGAAATTGTTAATAAATATCAATATCCCCCCAAAATTTTAAAATAATATTTACATAGATGGTAGTCTCAAACACAAAGACCCTAAAAATAAAATAATACTAGTAAACAACAAAAAGAGGATGAGACTGAGTAATAAAATGCAGATAAATCAATTAATAGTGTTCTAGGAAGGTTTAAATAAAATAAATAGGCCAGGCCACCAAAGTAAGTTCTAGTGACTTGCTGTAAATGTCTACATCAGGACATCAGATGACCAATATATCTGACTCTGTTCCATGGGTCATATGGCCTCCAACAAAATGAGGAAATCTTTTTTAAACAATATTTATGGCCAGTTCTTCCCTTTTGTGAGTTGGATTCCATGCTTTTCTCCAAATATTATATAAACCAACATGCGATATTTTACACCAAGTGAAGAATTGAGTCGAATACCCCAAATAATTCACCTATTTCCTCCCAAATCCAAAATATTCCCAATTTTCTTGGTTTTTCAAGTGAAAAATGCTTTAGTCTGGTGACTCCTCTGGAAAGTTACCTCAATTCTCTTTTTACCTGGTATATAGACTTGGTCACAGAGAACTAACCCTACTGCCATATTATGAAACTGATGGCCCAGAAAGAATACCAAAGACTTAGATGAAAACCCAGGGAAACATTGAGCTTTTCCATTGTATTCTATAATTTTTTATTTAAAAGATAACTGCATGACTTCATCATTGCTTTAATAATATCAAGAGTCCCAAAATATCACTGGAAATTTTTGAAGTAATTAGCTGTAATACTTTCATTATTATCTGTCTATTGTTCTATAAAGTAACCCAATAACAATCAATGTTAACCTAAATATATTGCTCTTCTTCATAGCAAAAAAAATCCACATTAATTTCACTCTGATGTTCATTGTATATGCAATAGGAAAGCAGTTGCATGTTAGCTGGTGCTGTTCACACACTTAACCAGCTAACAATACACTGCCAACCCATCACACACAGGTAATCAACGTCCTTCATTATACAGAAGCAAGTGGCACGATAGCTGTGGCTGCTGACTTGACCCAAAGCAGCCGGCTAATATATTGCCTACCTGATTCAGATCATCCCTGCTTTTCCATAGCCCATCAAGTCAAATGAAGTTTGTAACATGACAGACTGTGGCACACCTGTTTGTCTGTGCTCACAGGAGTGCCCCAGCATGTGTATGGCAGTCAGAAGACAACTTAAGGAGTCACTTCTCTCCTTCCACCCTGTGGGTTCCAGGGATCAACCTGAGGCCTACAAGCTTGATGGCTGCAGTAAGTGCCTTTAACAGCTGAGCCATCTCGTCAACACCAGAATATTCATCTTAATAGTTACATTGAAGAAAATTTATAGGCAAAACTTGTTTCTCCAAAAACTACAAGAAATAAAGTCAATATTTGCAAACCCTAGCTGGCTGGAACTTGCTATATGTAGAGCAGGCTTGTCTCCATCTCACAGACATCCACCTGCCTCTACCTCTCAAGTGCTGGGAGTCACTGCATTCTGAAAGTTCAGCTATGTGTTCAATTTTGAGTGTCATCACTTGGATATAGAAAAATGTATAAATTGGGGCTGGAAAGATGGCTCAGCAGTTAAGAACACTGGTTGTTCTTGCAGAAGACCCCGGTTCGAATCCCAGAACCCACATGACAGCTAACAACTGTCCCTAACTCCAGTCCCAGGGGACCCGACAGCCTCTTCTGACCTCCGCGGGCATTGCACGACACCGGTGCACTTACCTACATGTAGGCAATACATGCGTACACATGAAAAATAAAAATAATACAGCATTTTTAAAGTTTAAAAAAAGAAAAATGTATAAATTGTCTAGGAAAAAAACTGTTTAAAAGGTGATGTGTTTGAACTAAGAATCTAAGTTTAAAAGAAGGTGAGCTATACCTGGGCATAGTGGCACATGCCTTTAATCCCAGCACTCGGGAGGCACAGGCAGGCATATCTCTGTGAGTTCAAGGTCAGCCTTGTCTATATAGAGAGTTCCAGGCTAGTTGGGGCTACAGGGAGACCCTGTCTCAAAAAAAAAATATTTTTTAAGTGAACTATTTAAAAGCCTAAAGAGAAGTATGGTAAATGGTGATAATAAGAGACGTGAGTTATATGGGGCTTGTTTATGTGGACAAAAATGCTAAATTTGTTTTGCCTTTACACTGGTTTAAAAAGAAACTACAGACCTTTAGGTCAGGTCCTCCGGAGCAGAAATATCAACTCTTGAATCCACCTTTCAGTGGATGAGGTAAGAGCTATGGGTACACTACTTCTTGTTGTCCACTAGATGGCACCATTTCCATTTCTTTGTATGCTTCTGAATGAGGCAGAGTGGAGTGCAACCAGGAACTGTCTGGAAGACATCCTAACAGCCAACTATCGATGCACTGCCTACCTGACACACCCAAGCTTCATCCTCTGCTGTTGACCCAGAAACTACGAGTCACCATTCCATATGACTACCACAATTTTTCAGAATTCGTATCTTGAATTTCTTTAGTATATAATGAGACTCTGTACTTAAAGATATATTTTTCAATTCTCACGTGTCAAACCAGCCCGTAATTCCTGCAAATGCCTTATTTAGCAGCAAATTACATTTGCTCAAGATCAGAGTGAAGGCAGAGAGTGAGAGCAAGGCCGGGCACTCACCTTAAGGGAACCTTGACTTCTCTGCTGCCTCATGTCTTTGGCGAGCACCCGCATGATGTTCTCCTTTGAAAACAGCACACGGAGAGAGAAATGGAAATAAATTAGGAATCGTTAGGAAAATCATAACAGAAGATGTGGTATTTTTCTAAATCCTGACCTTGTCAAATATCATTCACTTTTCCTAAAGCAACCAGGCACCCCAGAACACAAATATCATGCAACTCAAAATTAAGACCAGGCTGTAGAATCTTGCAACACTTCTTGGTCCTAAACAGGTATTACGAACCGGGCTTTCTGCAAGATGCCCTTTGAGAGAGCTGGGCCAAGAAAGAAAAAGATGGTACTCACCCACAGCATCTCTTCCTCGGTCCGGATCTTCCGCCCCGCGGTGCGTTCCAGTTTCCACTCCATCTCCAGGTGATTTTGCAGTACCTGGAATTTGACCTCTCCTCCACCACTTCTGGTTTTCTCCCCAAGGCGCTAAGCCTGGCTTCACAGCCCCAGGCAAAACCCTAAAGTCCCATCCTCTGAGACCATCATATTTCACCGCCTACCTCTAAAACCCTCACTCCTCCCCCACGCTCCCAGAGCGGATTCCCGAGGGTACCCTTTAAAAAGCCCGCGGGGCGGTAATCAAAGCGGGAATCCCCCCCCCCGACTCGTCATTGGCCAGCGCTTCGATGACGTCAAGCCCAAGAGGGCTTCCCCAGCAGCCGGGCCGGGTTCTCCAGCCCGC